CTGCCGGCAGTACCCGCTCTTCTGCTGCCTCCTCCTGGGGCTGGGCGCCGCCACCCTCCTCCTCAACCGGTAACCCGCGCGGGGGGGCTGGGGCGGGGCGGGGGAGCCGGGCCCGGCCCAGCACTGGTACCTTGTCGTGCGGTAACGTTCCTTCCTGTTTATTTCCAAGGTATCTTCACGTTTTAATGATCTTCTGGTCCTTTGTGGCTGGTGTCGTCACCTTCTACTGTTCATTGGGGCCGGATTCCCTCTTGCCCAATATTCTCTTTACCGTAAAATACAAACCCAAGGTAAACGTGTCTGTTGACATCCTTGCGCTTTCCTTAAATTTGGTAAGAATTTATACTGGGTGGCAATTCTTGTGTCGTTATAGCTGCTTTCAGAAATACTCCCTCACTACGCATCCGTACAGCTCATATCCACCAACTGATGGATGTTTTCTAGCACATATGCAGTGCTTAAGACTTTGCATTCTTTATATATTTCTGCGTAGTCCCATCAAATCTACGTATGGCTGTGAAGCCAGCTGGTGGGGGTGTTCATGGGTGTTATTTTCTGCTTCACTCACTTTCGGCATTCGAATAGCAAGTAGTTGAGAAATTACATTGTTGAGGCTTTCTCTAAGGATGTTCTTCCTTTGGTGAGCCAGTGCTAAGTAAGCCTTCTTTGCTGGTTGTAGTCAGACTACTTTAAGTGGTATTGCGTTTCAAAGAAAAAAAAAATCCCAAAGGAAATTGCTGGGTTTTAATTTAAAAAGGTTTAACTTGGAATTCCCTAGGTCTAAAAAAGTTAGCATCGCAATAGTTCAAGGACATGAGCAAGGCAAGTTTTGTAGAGAAACCAGCTGGCCTGTTATTAGACCCTTTCACAACACCGGTTATCTGTCTCCTCAGATTTTGTTTTAGTGGAAGTGCCTTTTCTGTTTGGTTCAGTTGTTTTCCACGCCCTGCCTTGTTATCTTGTTTTCCTGCTGGGAGAGCAACTTTGTCTCTATGCTGTTCAGTTCCCTGTAACTGTATACTCTACAAGGAAACTTGTGAATATACTGGTACGTTACCAGAGTCATCATTCTGAAGAGCGTAAACTTATCCAAATATCTTCTCTTAGCAACTAGAATTGCCGGAGCTATTTCCCCATGGTCACAGCTGTGCTGTATGTGGCAAGGTCAAATGCAAGAGGCACAGGTAAATTAAATACGTAGCACTGGTAAGCTTAGTATTTCTTATATTTTGCTCATAGCAGTAGGAAACCTTCAATTAAGTATTGTTATATCAACTTTTCCGTGCTCTCCTACAGACCTACTTTGCTTCTGGAAAACTATCAGCCATGGCTGGATCTGAAAGTGCCTTCCAAGGTTGATGCATCACTCTCAGAGGTAACTGCTGCTTCATTTCTTTAGTACCTTGAAATTCAGCAAGTTTTTATGACATATCTCTTAGACCTGTTAGTTCTGGTTCAGTAGATAGCTCAGAGGTACTTCACATGTATGTTACCTTGTTCCTGTAAAAGTCAGATCAAAAGAGTATACGCTGGGAGAAGAGAGGCGAGATGGCCTACTTGTTAACACAGGGGTGATGTTTCCTGCAGTAGTGTGCCTAGGACACAGCAGAAACAGCTATGTAAATTGGGAATTACATAGGAAAGAACGGTTACCACTGAACATGTCCGATTCTGGAAAACCTAAGGATTTCAGCCTGCTTAGTTTGTTGAAGTGGAGGTTAAGAGATGATTTGCTTCAGCTACAAAATTTCTGTATTGAAGGTGATAATGGTATGGTAGCTACTTAAATTGTCGGACAAAGCTGTAACAAAATCTGTCTAAAAAAGGAACTAGCTGATTTACTCAAAGGAGAATAGCATAAATAACTGGTTTTTAATAAGACTGCAAATGGGAAATTTTGTTTTGTTCTTTTTAAAAATTGTTCTCAGAAGAGCAATTTTTCTTTTTTTTTTTTTTTTTTTTTTCCTTGATTTGGTAGTTGATGAAATATATTGGCAGCTAAATAGATAATACTTTATTAAAGCCAGGAAGATATATTCAAGCGCGTATGTAGCTTAGTCTCCATTTATTTAGAGTTCCAGCTTTGGAGTTCTGTGGTAGGAGGATGAACAATTGGCATGTCAGAATTGAGAAGATTCCTGCATGTCAGCTCTTGCAATTAACAGCATGGTGGATGAAGCCAAAGCTGCATGCGTTTGTGGTACAAGCTCACGCTTTAGGTCAGCTGTGCGTGATGGTGTCCTGGCCATGGCTGACAGCTGGAGTAGCAAAAGAATGAAAACCTTAAGGGAAAGGAAGGATGGACAATTGAAGAATGTCTTTAAAAAAGCGCAGATAACAGCTTGCTGACATCCTTTGGTTTATGTAGGGACTTCCTCTGCAATTTCAGAAGCAAACATTTGTTGTTTTAAGATTACTTAGTTTATTAACTTTTGGAATACATTTGGGCTCAAGTGTAATAAAATAACAATATTGCTGAATATAGTTTGAATAGGCCTATTTTTTTAAACCTCTTGTTTTCATAATAAATTGTAAAATACAAACGCTTCTACGCATGTAATATTTTGAGAATTTTGGGTAGCAAATGGCTGTGACGGTTTACCAAAGGATGTGGTAAATGCTGAAGAACTGGAAATTTTCCTGTTTAGCTTAAATGGGATTTTAATGCTAGAAAAGTTCTTTGTAGTATGTTATTCATAAGAGATACAAGTAGATAGCATAGTTATCTTCTAAGATGATCTTTGAAACGTGCTGCTACACATTGGCATTTTGTATTTCATTGCTGTTGCTGTAGTTCTGGATTTACCAAAGCAGTGTGGGTTTTTCTTTGCTGTTTCTTTTTACTCCAGTGGCGTGTCCCTGGCCCTGCTTTATTTAGCACTGGAGACACGGCTTTTGTATACCTATGCTGTGTTTCTCATTCTTTTCTTTTCTTTGGGCGCTTAACTAGAGGGAAGTGCCAGACCCAAGTTCTGGACCTTCCTGGGACAGTGAGGCAAGGTAATCATCTTTGGTGGACCCAAGCAGGCAGTCTATTTGAGCCACCGTTTTCACTTAATTAGGATGCTCTTTGGCATGAGAAATCTCATTGGGTTGTTCCCTGTTGCAGCTTTTCTGTGCTGGTTAAAACAGTAGCAGGGGTTCTGCCCACACTGTATTCCTCTTGTTCACCTGCTCTGGGGATGCCTGGAATCGGATAGCCTGCGCAGGGCTGGAAGGAGAGACTGCTCTTACTTTCTTTTGTGGGTTAGTCGTATATTAGAGGAAAGCTGATACAGTGAGAACAGAATTAAGATTAATGAGACTCCAAAGAAGTGCAGCCTGCTTCCGAAAAGCAGATTCTTCAAATGCTTGGAACAATTCTGGGCTTTTTTTATTCTGGATTAATTTTTCTCGTTCTTCCTTCACAGACTGAAGAATTTTGGCAATGTTCTCATTTTCAAATGTTTCTGATTCAAATAATTTGTATAGTCTTTAAGTGTGTGTTTTCAAGTGCTTACAGAATGATTTAATACACACTTGAATTAGAAGAAAGCCAAGTTTTTCTCACAAGTATGGATTTTTCTCTCTTGGATTGCGATGACAGTTTGCCTCACTTCACAAATTCTTAATCTTTTGCAGCCCTGTTTTGGTTATCTAGCTGCTGTACATGGTTTAGAATGATAAGAAAAACCTGTGCTTGGACTTTCTTCCCTCCTTCATTTATGTTTTATTGTAGTTGAACTCTAAACTGCCTCAACCATGCGTCTATCAATATTTGATAGTTTCTGCTGTATCCTGCACAAAAATAGTGCAGTGGCCTAAGTAGAATTTTGTTTCCAGTTTCTACTCCACTGTGCTTTCTTAGTTTCCCCAATGTTTTCTTTCTTTTTGAATTAGGATGCGATATCTGTTGGTCAGTTTTATGTTGTATATAATTTTGGGTGTTACAGATTTTATAAAGGAGAATTTAATTCTCTTATTCAGTTAATGAGCTCAGCTCTTCCCTACAGTCTCATTTTTGCTATGTGAGGGATGGTTGCAAGACAAATCTGTGGAAAGCTGCTCAGCTGCTCTTGATCAGCATCATGAAAGAAGTGCTGTAGAGGATCAAGGTGCTGTCTGTTCATCTCACAAATTTTTCTCCAGTTCTTAAGTTCTCAAGTTCTTGACTTGATTATGGGACCAGAATTTTCTCTTCTTTTTTTTTTTTTTTTTTTTTTTCTTTTCTAAAAGTAAGATATGGACAAATGCATGACAAGAAATCAGTTATTGTCTGAACGTGCTCCTTGCCGGTCCTGAACTCTTATAGCAACACAGTGGCCTGCATGCTTTCTTACTGGGAATCGCTTGTTCTACCCTCAGGAAGTGGTCTCAGCTATGTAGTTATACAGTCTTTCAAGGCTTTTCAAATTGTCCTTTTGGTTTACTTATCAAATCCTTGCTCCTTTCTAATCTAACGTGGCCTGGTAATTCTGACCTGCTGCTGAATCATTTGCCGCTCAGCTCTACGGTTCCTCCTCCTGATGACTGGGGTCTGTTCTATGGCAATCCACAGAAAGCTTGTCTCAGCAGCAGTAGGCTGACTGGCTTGCGTGTTGCAGTGCATGCTAGAAATAGTCCTCTTTGTTTTTTCTTCAGCTGCTGCTTATATTGCTGCCTGCAGCATTTGGGTTTTACACTTGTAATCTCTTTCTAGTTCAAAACTGCTCACACGTAGTAGAACCAGTCATTTTGCAAAATGCTTGAAAAATAGGTAGGCTTTAAATGAAATGACTCATCATTTGTATTTAAATCCAGGTAAGAATACTTTACCAAAAAGGAAATTGGTTATCATTAGCTGTCATTCTTTGAGGTGTCTTAGCTACTCTGTTGGCATGTGTGCAGACTACGAGCAATTGAGCTTGAATAATATTGTTGGTGTTGCTAGAATGGAAGTGGGTACATGTGTCCTGCTTTTCTAGTGCTTTACAAAAGTGCAGTGGATGATGTGACAGGTTTTTTCTCTCTTAGAGAATCACACTGATATAGTCTGGAGGTGTCGTGGTTTAACCTGGCTGGCAACTAAGCACCACGCAGCCCGCTCGCTCGCTTCCCTGCTCCACCCCACCCCTCCTCAGTGGGATGGGGAAGAGAATTGGAAAAAAAAGTAAGAGCCATGGGCTGAGATAGAGGCAGCTTAATAAGAGAAAAGAATAATAATAGTAGTAATGAGAATGGTAAGAGAATATATAGAATATACAAAACAAATGACGCACAATGCAATTGCAACATCAGTGTGTTATCAACATTATTCTAGTACTAAATCCAAAACACAGCACTATGCCAGCTACTAGGAAGAAAATTAACTCTATCCCGGCCGAAATCAGGACAGGAGGGCTCATAGTGTTCATGGGAAAACTGCGTGGACTGAATGCCTTGAACTCCAGTTACTGGCAATCACCTGTTATTCCTTGAGTGCTTGTGTTTTGCAGTATGGATGGTTTCATACTGTAGCTGTCTCGGTTTCAGTACAGCATTTTGGTTCAATGGAGCATCATACGTAACTGCCTCTGCCATGCCATGTGTTTAGTAAATATGGAAATAGGGCCTGTTTTCTGTGTGTCCAGGATCAAGGCGGTTTTTATTAAGGCTGTTCAGAGCACTTGAGTTCTAGTAGAATGTGCCTTGACCTCCCATATCAGGACCAGCAATATGTGCATTTCAAGTGTATTTTGAGTTAGTTGTCTGTCTCTCTGCATACTTCCTCTAGGTTTTTGGCTAGTGGGATTATCTGTGTGGCATTGACCTGTGGAAGCATTACCATAAAGCTCTTGCTTACAGTGTGGCTGTGGAAGTGGAAGATAAGAGAAACACTGGCACATCGGTGAAATGGTTCAAGTGGAAGTCAGTTACTACAAACATGGGATGAATCTCAAGGAGACCTTATCCAGAGTGGGATGGGTCATCTGGTCTTGTATCTTTCCTTCTTTCCTTGCTGATTTAGTAACCACAGGAAGATGATTCTAAGACTGTTGGAAACAATTCTCCTTCTGGCTTTAGAAGCTTCTGAGCTGTAGATGAAGAGAGTGCCACCAACTTATGTTAGCAGCTGATGAACTGAAATTGCAGTGACACGTGCCTGATGGACGGGCTTTCAGTTCCAAAGTAGTTGTGGATAAAGAAAGCTTTTTCAAGAGGAGCACACTGTATTCCCTTTGAGTACACTGTCCTGTCCTTGAAGGCTGTCCAAGTGCACGTGCCACTCCAAGTGGAAGACGGTCTGCTGTCGTTGCTCTTGATGGGGAGGTGCATACCAAAAGTGGAGGAAGAAAGAAGAGGGATCCTTTAACAGATAGATGCACAGTATGGATTTTTCTGCAGGCCTTGGCTTTTGAAAGGCACTTTTTTGGAAGAGTCTGTGGTTTGAGCCCTGGAAGATGTTTATTTTGTTAGAATCTCTGCATGAACAAGAATAATGTTGCAATACCTGCGAGACTGAGATTTCTATGGAGTAAATTGGTGGTTTACATACTAGCAGTGCTATGGAAGGCATCAGGGAAATAATTTTGAGTAGTCTGATCTATTGCTCTTAAGACCAATGGTCTGTGTTTGCTGACTGGATCTGGATGTGATCTCCCTTCTGTTGTCTGAAGAGTAACTTCCAAAGGAGATTCTCTGGGATTTCTTGGTCTCTTCTGGCCTGGGAAGTAAAGTGTCCGTTGTCATCTCCCCCTACCCTTCCACTCGGCTTTTAGTGGAAATACAAGATTTGGGAGCAGGGAGGGTGACATTTGGCTTTCCCATCCATCATCAACACATGACCATATTACAGTTTCAAGATTTATTACTGCTATAACACATAGGGGTAGGAGAAAAGACATTGATGACTTTGTATGGTCCACCACACAGATATCTGAAGTTATCCCAAACTGGAAAACAACCCTTCAGAAAGAGGACGAAGGAAGAAAATTTCTCCTTCACCCTTAAAAGCAAAGGGAGGAAAATCACTGAAATGGAACAATTGCAAAAGGAAGAGTATCTTATAAAATTTGAGTAGGTGATATTCTTAGTAGTGAAGACAGAAAAAGAAAATTCATCAACTGTTCAAGTATGAAGAATTGAGAGGAATTAAAAAAGCTGTGGTGTGTATTTTACTGAGTGTGCTTTTATAATCATGAGTAGAGCGGAGGCATGTAAAGATTGTATAAATTTAGCAAGTCTTGAATTCTTGCAGTGCACACAGTGTGAATGAGTGCAGCAGCAAATCTTGTAAGAGGAGTACTTATTCTCATAAATGGCACTTGTATATCAGCTGTTACATTCAGCTTTCCTTTCAAACAGATTTCACATTTTTCTTTGAACACAGTGACTTCTTTTGCAGAACCTTCCCTTCTGTAGCATACGGCACAGCAGCCTCACAGCAACACACGTATTCTCTCTGATTGCCCTGATCAGCATCGACACTGCTGAGCACAAACTGATGCCTGAAGCAGTGATTCCAACTGAGGCATAGGCTGCAACTGGAGAAAGTAGCGTGGAGTATATCTTGGGGTTGTAGTGAAGGAGGAGAAATCTCAAGGAAAGTTCATACTTTCTTCTCCTTCGTCATGTTTCGTTTTCTTTTTTTTTGGCACTGTCTGATGTTTCCCCTTCCCTTCAGAAGTTTGCTTTCTGCTAATCGTGGTGCAAGGACTGTAACAGCTACTCAAAACTTTTGTGTAGGTGTAAGGAGAGGTGCCAGAGCTGCAGTCCGGCTAGCAGTACACCTTGTGTATATGGTGGTGGCAGCCTGTTGATTGAACAGGGACTGTTGCCTCCTCTGCCTCCCTTCCTGCTGTGACATTGAAACCAGGGCGTGCCTGTGACATGGCTGCAACAGCTCTGGTTCTTCCCAATTAACCCAGGTTTGATGGTATGGAAAAGACAACCATGGGCTCAGCCTGTGAGGAACAGATTTGATGGAAAGGGTGGAAAAGATTCTCCTACTGAGATCCATGTAGGTGGGATATACAGGGGCTAGGAACAGTAGAGAGATGGCTGTGAGGGTACGTGTAGGACAAGGACTTTGGGAATTGCTCTGCTTGGGGCTTCAGGAGATGGCTGGACCATAAGACGGGTTTTGTTGAAAGCTGTGGTGCAGGATGTGGAGAAAGAATGGTTTTCCTAGAAACCGCTTTTTAGGCTGCTGCTTTTGCTTTCTTTGTGAGTGGTGAGCATACAGGGTTGACTGTCCCACTTGGAGTGAGGGAGAGTTGGAAAAGGTGGAGGTTTGGATGAAAAGGGGTGGAGGTGTGTGTTAGTGTAGGATGGGTAGCTGTGCCTCCACACTACATCAGAAGAGAACAGGGACTGATGTGAAAAATTAGAGAATGGTTGGTTGAAGTAAGATTACATTTTTCATAGCGTTCGCACTGTGCTTTACGTTGTCCATAGTACTAGTGGCAGTTGTTTCATGTCAATATCTGATTAAACCATCACTTCATTGCTATTTGCCCAAATTACTGATTATTACACAAAATGATTGATCTCACAATAGGATCGCAACATACCCACTTGTACATTAAAGTTTTATGGTGTATGAATTATGTTCTATGAGTTTTGGAAGGTGTTTGTGTTTTTAACTCTTCTAACAAGGATTTATAGTAAACTGTTTATTTGGTAATGTGGTTGTCTTTGTTCTGCACAGGTACTTGAGTTGGTGCTGGAAAACTTCATTTATCCATGGTACAGGTATGAGCTCTACCTAAAAGTTACTGGTTTTGAATGTCGTAAATATCTGTAAAACTGTTGAAGAAATAGTCACCTGAAAATAAACTTTTCTGTTTCTTTAGTAAAATATAAACCATACTTTTAAGTGCTAAAGTTTCATTACTTTATTGTCTCTTAGCAGAGATCTTTTAATAATTTAGGCATGATAGAGATGGTTCTAAAATTTTTGTTTTATCCTAAAAGCACTTTTAGATTATTCATTTTTTGTGTCAATTTTCTAATAACTCTTACTTAGAAGTACGTATGGCTTGATTAAAACCTGCATAAAAACTCAATGCCCCCCCCCAATTTATTTCCAGATTAGAAGCATACCAATCTTTCATATTGCTTTAAAAAAAAAAATTGCTTTGCATTTTTTAAAAAGAAAAATTCCACTTTTAATTGATATTGAAAAGGTATTTTTAATACGTGTTGTGGCCCCCTTGCAGAACATCTGGTGATTTGCTGAGGTTTAAAGCTATGAGTGGTTATGCTCAGCTGAATAGAGGAGTACTGTGTAAATAACTATAAAACAGTGTAGAAAAAAAAAAGACAGTAGCTAACTTTTTTTCCCCTTGTACCTTTATATATTAGTGCTTCAGAGTACTTTGTAAAAAGATACCAACATTTTTTTTAAATTGATCATGCTGGCATCAATGTGTTAAAACAAAATTTTGCCATAATTCTGAATTTGACTTTTTTGTTGAATGGAAAGGTTAAGTTTTGTGCTAAAAGAAATTTATACTTTTTTCTTTTACTCTATGCCAGTTTTCTTCTTTCTCTCTGGAATCTAAAATTTTCTGGGCAGGGTTTTTTTCCTGATTGGTTTTTAATTGTGGCCAATATCTGCATCTCTCGCATCTATTTTTGTGGGATGAATACACTGAAGTATAAAACTTAACTGCTTATGCAAACAGCAGAGGGAGCTTCAGCACCATGTATTGTGAACGATCAAGTTGGAAACCCCAAGGTTTTTAACTTTCAAATACAGAAAACTAGAGCATGTTCCATTGAGCTGTCTGATAAAGGAACAAATGTGAGGGAACTGTCCTGTGTATTTCATAATTTGAAATTAGATAGATCTTTTGGCTGGTGGAAGGTGTCTTCAGTGTCTTTGTTTTGGACTCACAAGAAAACTTTGACTCCTCATAGTACTTAAATCTCTGGCACCCAAGATGGTAGAAGTCTGGAATATATCGTATGGGGGGGATATTAATATGCCTTGTTAGAAGTGCAGTGCAAAATATACATGGTATAGAGCCAGGCAGCCTAGATTCTGCAACATCTTGCCCTCTGGCAAGCTGTATAGATGTTCCTGCACGGTCTTTAGTTTTACATGGCTGCACCTCTGCATTTTGAGCTAGCTCCATGAAGTCACACCATGCTGATCAGACCTAATAAGCTCTCCATGAACCTGAAGTACTGGGAGTTCAGTGAGCTGTGGTATCTGAGTAATTCTGCAGGAAACAACTTGGTCCTGAAAGGCTTACTGGTTTCAGCTTAACAGTAGTACTGTCAGATCTAGTCTCATTCCCTCTAGACATTCAGGTGTTTTTATGCTTTCCTGTATTTCCAGCAACAGTCGTGCAGGGGGGGCCTGAACTGTGTCTGCGTGCAGCTGTTTGAGGTCTGTCTCAGAGCATGTTAGTTCTGACTTTTCTTACTTAGGTGTACCTACGCTGTTCGTGTAGCTCAGCTTACCCTGGAGAAAGAACTCTTGCGTTCATGGAACATTTTTTCTGAGCTAACAAACCTCACTGACTCTGGATAGTTCTTCACAGAGCCAAATCAGAAGACTTTGCATCCAGACTGTCCTTCTTTAGCAGTGTGGGTAACCGAGCAATTCAGACTTGCAGATTAGGTTGGTAAAACAGTTTGCTGCTTTCCCTTTCAGAAAAGTCTGGGGTAATTCCTTATGCTAGCTGCCCCCCTTTCAAGTGAATAGAATTTGTGCAGAAGCTACCCTCCACACCTTTTTTTTTCTTTTTTCTTTTTTCTTTTTTTTTCTTTATTTTATTTTATTTTATTTTTTTGTGCCCTGCCAGCTGATGCTGCCTTGCAGCACCTTGCATACTCTGGGCACTGGAGAGGTATCTCACTCAGAAGCCCGGTCAGTTTAACACTTAATAGAAATGTATGTTGCAAGACAAAATCACAGACCTATTGCTCAGGAAATAAAGTGCTATAAGGAGGGAAAAGATGTGTTTTATGTTTGTTTCTTTAATAAACTGTGTAAGAATTTGCATTATTTTATTAAGCAAGTTAAAATTTAGAAACAAACATCCCTAAACTTGGATCAGTGTAGGGGAATGAAGATTAGCACTTAAAATCCAGTGAACTCTACTGAAATAGGTAGTTATACCTATGTGCAATTTTTATTTGGTATTTTTCAAAGTATTTATACTAGTTATATTTAAATATTTGTGGTTTAAGATTTTTTCAACTATATGGGAAGAACAGAGCATGGTTGTAAGTAATCCAAGTTTGCAGAGCTACAAAATACCGGTCTATTGCTTATGCTGTACAATAACACTATGTAGTATCTTGCTCACATGAACCTCATTTTAAATAGGAGAGTTTAAAGTTTGAATGAGTCAGTACGCTTACTGAATTTTTTTGGTGAATGATGCTACTGCAACTCCAGTTCTCTCAGATTAGATTAGAACCAGTAATTACCACATTTTTGTAACATTACTATGAAAAAATTTTTCTTTGACAGTAACTAAACCCAGTGTTTTCACATGTGGAGCTGCTTCTATTTTAAATGCAAGTAATGCAAGAAAAATTCAGGATATTTGTTGAGTTACAAACCATAGCTTTACAGTTTTATCGGCTTGCAACTTATTTTCTTCATCTTTTTGATAGGAGTTGGCCAAATTTTGTAAGAATAATTGGCATGCAGGGGAAAAAAATCACTTTGGTATTTGTATATGGTTTTAATTTATCAATAGATCCCACAAGACTTTGCGTGCAACAGCAGTTGGGTGTATCTCTTTTGACACATTGGATTTAGCAACTGTTTAAAATTAAGAGAGTCAGCCTTTTTCTTCTTGCAAATCTCTCTGTTATACTGACAGTTGCATTTCTAAGTTTTTCCTCAAATTCTGGGAAAATGCAGCCAATTTTTGAAATGTTTCCAAGTGAGTTATTTGGACCTTCCACTGTGTCACTAGAGATTTGAGATTTTACAGGTTCTTGGTGGTTTTTCTCAGCAGTCTTCAAATCTGCTGGTGATTAAGAGAATGTGTCTGCAAACCTATGGCGTGTTGTGAAAACACCTGGCATAAAGTCTTGTCCAAGTAGAATTAGCCAAGATACTGGTGATACAAGTGTCAATAAAATAACAACTTCTTGCTCCAAATTACTTCATGTATCTCATTGTTTGTCTAGTAATAGTTATACAACTTGTTTGCTAATCCCTTGGCTTCCTTTGACAGTGAGGGTATTTGCTAACCATACTGCTTCCAAAATGTCAGCTGCTGATGTTAAACCAAACTTTCCCCTACAGTATTCTTATGTGGATGTGATTAGCGGATGGAGGATAGTTGTGTTCCTTATGCCAGGCTGCTTTCTTTGGCGTGCTTTTTCATGCAATTAGTTGCGTACTTGTCAGGTCACCAGTATCTGTACCCAGCAGTTCATCTTCAACATGCAGTTGAATGCTATATAACCCAGGCTAATATTGCTTTAAAAAATCAGGTGCTGAATAATGTGAAACAATGTTATACGCATAAAAATTTTATTTTTCAAATGTACTGTTGTTGCTTGCACTGATTTTTTTTTTTTTTTTTTTTAAAAAATGCAAGTAATGTTTGCATTAACTACATATGCAAACTCATTTATTACCAAAAACTGTGATGGCTTTTTCATCTGGTCATTAGCTAAAGCAGAACATAACTTTTTTTGTTGTGTCATTCCTCAGCTATTATAATGCAGTTTTACTGATATCTTTGGTCATACTCTAATGTACATGTAGGCTTAAATACTGATTTTTATTCTTTCTGTTGCATTTTGTGGAATGCTGCTGTGATGGTCTCTTTTTCCACTCAGTTTAGTTGCAGTTTCTGCATTTAAGATTTAGTGTATTTCCTGTTTTCATTCGGTTTCCCAAAAAAGATGTGGAATTAGGTATTTTTCTTCCTGAATCAACTTTAAGTATTTTTACCATGATTTTTCACTGAACATCCTTTATTGCAGCAGATGGAAACTGGCAAGCCGGATAATAAGTCTAGATGATATTTTGACCTAGTGATTTGGGAATCTGTTTAAATTCTTCTTTATTTCTTTGTTTACAAGCAGAAACCACGTTAAATCATTTACATTCTGTTCCAAATGCCTGTAGGGTGAGGTTCTTGTTTTTTCTTTGTAATTGATGGTTTCACGTTTTATGCTATATCAAAAGTATATCAACTTTTCAAAAAATAAATTCTTTCATTTGTTGGTTTCCTGTGCTATGCCTTCTGTTCCCTTCTAGGAAACGGCAGTCTCTGTTTAGACCAGAAATAGGCCTGATTTTATATTTAAAAAAGAGAATATTATTGTATTAAATGGCATCTAAGTTCTAGAAATTGTTGAAAAAATACCAATTAAAGTTTTCTATTGGAAGAGGCTGAGCTGAAATACAGGGGATGTACCTATTTAATTAAAAAGCTACATGAGAAACTACTAATTTTTTAGTAAAACTTAAACAAAGGAGGCTAACAAAGCCAGATTTGAACTGAAACAGATGAAAATTATTTGAAATCTTGGCGTATAGAAGGTCTTGTAGTACGCAATATGGAAAATTCAATTTTGACTGGGGTATGTGCTTGCAGTACTCTTATTCCAAAGGCTTTGCCGATATTAATTCAGTTTCACTTCGTGGCACTCAACTAGGAAGCATTCACATATGTGGAGACTAAGTTAGAGTTTACTCGGTCAAAATCATCCAGACAGTATATTAGAGCAGGAATTGGTATGTAATTCCAGTTTACTGACACCTTTCTTAAGCCTTTGTTGTGTGCAGAAACGTAGTGGGAATGCTGTGTATTTTACTCAAATAGAAGACTGCTTAATCTGCCCATACTTGATAGCTTTCATTTCAATTAATACCAGTTGAGGTGTCACCGTTGAATGTTCTTATTCCAGCTTTTAGTAGTGCCAAATGTATTGCTGTTGGATTAATATAAATGTATTTTATTCTGTTTTCTTTTGTGACATGCTTTATAACACTGCAGAAATATTACTGACGATGAATCCTCAGTGGATGAACTGAGAGGCACACTGCGGTTTTTCGCATCTGTATTAGTTCGGAGAATTCACAAGGTAAGGTGACTTCAAGGTATTAACGTTGTTTTTCCATCAGAAATTACTGCTATCCATCTGTAACGAGTTCTGTAATGTTTTTCAAAATGATAATTCCAAAGTCAGTCTTACAGAGAATATAGGTAGTTCCACTGAAGTTTCCTTGCGTTATCTGTTCCATCTTTCTGGAGTTTATCCCACTCCTGATTATAAACCATATTTGAAGATTCAGCATTGGAAGTGTTCAACATCAGGTTGGACACAGCTTTGAGCAACCTGAACAGGTGAAAGATGTCCCTGCCCACAGCAGGAAGTTGGACTAGGTGATCTTTGAAGGTCCCTTGCAACCCAAACCACTCTACGATTCTATGATTCTTGCAAATCGATTTACTTTTTACACCAGTGCAAGGCATTATTAAAACCTTAGAATAGTCTTTTAGCTGTCTTTTAGTGATTTTTATCCAAGTGGAACAATTTTGAGAATTATTGAAGAACAACTGTTAGAAAATGGTTAGCAGTGTACGTGTCTCATAGCTTCTGCTTGCTTGACTACTTTGAATGCAGACAAGATCTATAAGGAATTGTCTGTAAGGAATAGACTGCCATTAAGTGAATAGCTTACTGTAATAATCAAACCAGATATGGTTCTCCTATTAATGTGGAACATTCTGAAAACTAAAGATTCAAATTTTTTATTTGCTGTGTTTAATATATTAGCACATCTACTCTTGTTTTCTGGTAAAGTGCTTCAAGCCTGTTTTACAGGAACTGCTTCTAAATTTCTGGCTGTTCTAAGCAAGAAGAGTTGCTGACTCAGTTTCCAGACTTACTCAGTGCCGACCCCTCTGTTGGACCAACTACCATAAATTTTTGGGTTTTTTTTTTCCCATGCTTAGTAACAGCAATGTTTCCTGAGCTACAAGCTGTACATGTACTCTGTCATGACTTATTAACAGCTTGATTCTGTCCTTGTTATATATCAAAACCAGATGGCTTTCTTGTTTACTCTTACTCGAGCATGTTGCTTTTTAAAGTGAACATGGGGGAACATTAGGATATGTCTGTAGCACAGACATTATATGGAGGTGTGAAAGTGGAGTAAACCTTTCAAAGTGAAGAACTAGAGCAAGGTCTTAAAATTTAATTTGAAATTGTAATCCATGCAGGTCTTAGTTGCACTGTTCATAGATCCATTGTTGATTCAGAAAATTATGTCTCCTCTGTTGATTGTTTAATAAGGTATTATTCATGTTATCTCAGATCAGCTCTAGCATCTTTAAGTAGAGTATCAATTTACCGTATCTGCCTTTGACAGTAATGAAGTAAATGTAATGCATTCAATTCTATGTATCTGGGGAGAAAATACATGCAACAAAAATGGAAGACATATACAAGTATTAAGCAGTGTCAGGGGAGCTACAGAATAAAGTCCATCACAGTAATTAATTTCTCTTTACAAATGTTTAGATTTATTTGTATCCATTCCACAGAATAATGTAATTTATTTTGTCTGCTTGTGTGAAGTGGTACAGATATCTCCAGCAAAAAGATACTCATAATAAATTTGTGGTTTGGAACAGAATTGAAACTTGTCATGCTCAATTGTGCAGGTGTCGTGGTATCTCATGCTATGTTATTTTTTCAGCTCATGATTTTTTTCTGTTGAACAAGTGTTTCTGTGTGTGCACACACCCACAAACAGATGCAGACAGCCTGAACTAATAGCGGTGGTACATACACTACTGAGAATGTTGTGCGTAGAAATCAGAGCCGATATGCAAGTTGCAAATAAAATACAACCTTTTTCTCATTTTAGGAATCCTAGTTTAAAGCTTCAAGTAGTGAGCTGAAAAGGGTTATGACAGAATGCTTTATAGCCTTTCAGCTCTGATACAGTGTCCTTTATAACCTCATTTGAGGAGAAATTAATCACTGATTGCAAAATAAAATAGTCTTATACCTTTGACAAACAGCTCTACTTTGGTTTGGATTTAGTATTAAATGCTTAAAAGCAATAGTTCTAGCTCATAGAGATAAAATTTTTAAATTCAGATCTACTATGTGTAAGAAAAAACAGACTGCTTTTTTTTCCTTTTTTAGGTTGTATCTTCATACTTTTTTGCCAAAGAATCTTTTGAATTAAGACTTAAAATTACAAATTGCTTCAGCAAAGACGGTTCCTTTGTTTTCTGTTTAAGGCTGCTTTTTTTTTTATCTGGATTTTCCTTGTGGTGGCCATTTCTGGGTTGGTTATGGGTTTTGAAGGGAAAATGAAGGGTTTCCCTTCGTACGGTGTTGCGTAGGTAGCCCTGCATCTGGTTGAAATTTTTGTCAAAAGTCAATAGTGTCTACTACAGTGTCGGTAATAATTTGCTCACTGTGCTCTTTGACTTACCTCTGCAGGAATAAACACTCCTCTATCCCTGTGTTCCGTAGGAAACCCTTGATTTATTGAACTCACGGTTGAAATGTGAGTCCCAAAGGACAGGGTTTTCCATTGATGAGCGGAAGCTCTTACTTTCTTGCCTGTAAATAGGAGTTGACCTTAATTTAGTTACTTTTGGGCAGTTCTAGTCAATTGTACTAGCTTGTCTGGGCTGGCCAGGTCAGGTCATAGCTGTGCACCTCAAATATTACAGGCGAGTGTGCAGAAATACACGCTATTCTCCTTGTACAAGTAAATAAAATCCCAGCTTCTCTCAGTTCTGGCCTTTGCAGCTGCACTGTCTCTTTCCTTGTCTGGCAAGAACTTTGATGCTTCTATTTCACTATTTAAGATCTTTATTTTATTTAATATTGAGGAGGGACAAACTTCATTAGGAAAAAAAAAATAATGTTCAGAAGTCTTAAATTTTGAACATTTGCAACTGCAGGTTTCTGCTTCTCTGAGGCCTCTTTTGCTCTTACTTAAAATAAAGGGTATGCAAAGTGTATAGGTTTCTGTGGAAACTACTGCAGCTGATTAAAAAGAATCCCTTGAAACTGTACAGGCTAGGGACTGACTGGCTGTGGAGAGAAGCTCTGCTGCAGGAGGGGGCCTGGCCCCATGGTAGACACTAAGCTGAGTATGAGCCAGCAGTGTGTACTGGCAGCAAAGGCGGCCAACAGTATCCTGGGCTGTATTCATAGGAGCAGAGACAGTCAATCAAGGAAAGTGATTATCTACCTTTACTTGGTGCTCTTTAGGTGGCATCTAGGATACTGCATCCAGTTTTGGGCTCTCCATTACAAGAGACACATTGATAGAGTGGAGCAAGTTCCACTGAGGGGCCACCAGGATGATTGGGGCTGGAGCATTTGACCTGTGAACAGGATCACATGATATTGTTGTTGGCACTGAGGGTCACCTTGACTCTGTGACTCAAATTTTCTTTTGGTTCTGCCATCACCTGAGCTGGGACATTTTTTCTGCATATACATAGAGAGGAGGGTTTCGCTTTGCTTTTACTCCTTGCAGGCATGATTGTTGAGGGTTAAGGTACACAAGTACTGGAAGCAGAGCACAGTGAACTTGCTCTAGGTGGTGGTCAAATCTTCATGTACCACTAGGTGTCATATACTGTGACTTGGAAATCAAGCTGTATGACTGTAATTATTGCAATGGAAGAATCATAATGGCAACAAGCTGACAATAAATGTGTTAATGGTATTGTTTATAGCATTTAGTTCTACATGATGTTGTATGCTTTGCCCAGAAGAGTGAGCATACTGTCAGCTCATCTAGAGAATTCATGGGTTGTTTCTTAAGGGTTCATTTTATAGTTAGAATGGGGACCTATAAGCAAATGAATATGTTTTATAGTTTTTGGTAATAAATTTGTGGAAAAAACCACTAGAACAATTCTGGTTTTATTTTAAAACTATTCCTTAGGTGGATATTCCAACTCTTGTAACAAAGAAAATGCTCAAGGCGGCAATGAAACACATTGAAGTGATAGCCAAGGCCAGGCAGAAAGGTAAAGACTTCACACGTTGTCGGTTTCAAAGGGCAAGTATAAATATTTCTTTCTGCATGTTTGTTATATTTCCTAAATCTTTTCATCCTCACTGCCTTCTCTTTAAAAAAAAAAAAAAAAAAAAGTGATCCTTTTGCATTTTTCTTCTGGAAAAAAGACAAGTTACAATACAAATAATCTGTCGGGTTTGATTTTCATTTCCCCATGTCAAAAATACTAAATTTCTTTCTCTGTGTGGTAAATAGGAATGCATTTTTTGACCATCTAGAGCAATCAAGATCATTTAGCAACGCTTCTTGAAGTTTTTCCTCCATTCCAGATGAGCATTACAAATGAAAGGATTTGTATGTCCATGCGCTGTACTGTAACTGTAACTCTTACAGCAAGAATGATTTCACATCTGCACACGAACATGAGCAGTTACTGGAGTTGTTCAGTATGTTGAAAAGTTAGCTTTAGGTTTATAAGCCGTGGAGAGACTTTAAGCATTAGTGCATTTAACTATTATCCAAATAAAAATATCTTCACAAGCCTAATATAAAAATTATATTAAAACTGCACATTGAAGGAATATTTGGAAAATAGAACACTTGCTGGTTTTGGTTTGATATACGCTGTGTTTAAAGTGTGTGTTCCTTCACACTTTTTTCTAACTGTACTAAGCAGGAAACAGATACAACAGGGGTGAATGAAAGTTTTAAGTTTACATTGATTTCAAACTGTGTTGTAAGGAAGTCAGTAGAAGCCACATAAATGGGAGACTGTGTAGGAGGTCAGGAAAAAAGCAAGTAGAGGCAGACTTTGGGCAATGCAGTTTTTCAGAAGAATCAAGATGTTGAGTTCTTCAATAACTATAAATGAGAAAACATTCTGGAAATTATGCAAACTGCAAGTGTTTGGTGAAGGAATTCTTATTTCAATGTGAGGTTTTATTTTTACATAGCCAGGCTTCAAAATCTTAATGTTATTTTCTAAAGTTTGAACACTGTATCCCTTCAGCAGTTGTATATGTAGTAGAAGTATTAACTTTTTAGATCAAATGAAAACCAGTCACCTCTTATTTCACAATAAGAAAAAGCTGAAACAACTTATAATACCATTTTTTCCTTGCAGTAAAAAATGCAGAATTTTTACAGCAAGCTGCTTTAGAAGAATATGGACCAGAACTCCATGTTGCTTTGAGAAGCCGAAGAGATGAACTTCACTACTTAAGAAAACTTACTGAACTTCTTTTTCCTTATATTTTGCCTCCAAAGTCAACAGAGTGCAGGTATAGAAATTATTTAGAATTGTATTCTTTAAAGTATTTGCATACTATGTAGTACAGTAGTTTTGGGGAGTGAAAGAATGAACTCCAAAGTCATTCTCCTCATCCCTCCTTCTTATCCCTTTCCTTATGAGTTTTTTGATTGGTCTTAAAAATGTTCTAGCACACTTAAGGTATTATTAAATACTAAAATGTTTCCTAGTAAAATATAATGACATTGGAAACTTGACTTAGAAAGTTATGTCATCTAGTATTGGTTCTGATTTCCGCCCCCCCCCCCCCCTTTTTTTTTTTTCTTTTCAGATCCCTGGCTCTTTTGATAAGAGAGATTCTGCCTGGTTCTGTTTTCCTTCCCTCAATGGATTTCCTAGCTGATCCTGTAAGACTTCAGAGCACAGGAATAATCCTGATTTATTCAGTCTCACTGTGTTCCTAAGTATGTTGCGTTAAGGCAAATGATGCACAATGAGTGATGACTTGTGCATTTTGACTGGGTAAAAGAAAAAGAAATCTTGTGGCCAGTGTTTTTGTTTGTTCATTATAACTGGTTTGAGTGCTTAACATAGAATATTGGTATGATCTCTTAAGAATGTATTTTTAAGGAAGGCCTACAATTCTAGTCAAAAGGGAGAATGCTGTGCTAGTATAAGTGCCTTCAGATTTGCATAACTACATTTAAAAAGGGGCCCAATTACTTGAACTCTAGCTGTATGAACCTTTATAGCTGTGTAAGTAAACCAGCCTTTTTTGCAGCTGTATTGAAATCTTTTGTTCTTAATTTTGCAAATAAGGGGGCATTTATTTCTAAAGATGGAACACTGCCATCTTTGATTTTATTTGTGCAGGTGTTTTAATAGGCAAAATCACAGTATTTACGAAGGTATTGCCTAGCTGCAAGCAGAAAGTAGTGTAGCTCTGGAAGTATTCATTAGATCTGCACTAACAGTAAAAATACTTTGTAGAGCTTTCCTCCACTGGGTAAAGAATGTTTCTGTGCAGGTCTCTTCAGAAACTCCCTGACTTGTAAATACTTGAAGAGACCGTTGAAGGTTAATTCTCAAACATGTTGCCAGGTTTTGGGTTTTGTTGTTTTGTTTGTTTGGTTTTTTTTAAATTATTAATATAGTCAGAGGTTTGAACTTGGGCATAACATAGTAGTGAAATGATTTTCATCTAGTTTGTTGAGTTTCTTTAATAGTAATTGTGTTGTGTTTTCCTGCAGGACACTGTCAACCATTTGCTGCTGATCTTCATTGATGATAGTCCCGTGAGTACAGACAAAGTTAGAACAGTAGTAATTTGTTCACCCATGAACGAAACTTTCTTACCCAATTGTGTCTTGTCATTTTTTTCTACAGCCTGAGAAAGCAACTGAACCTACCTCTTCATTGGTTCCATTCCTTCAGAAATTTGCAGAGCCAAGAAATAAAAAACCGTCTGTAAGCAAAGGCAACATTTATTTCCTTTCCTGTTCTGAACAAGTGTTTTACTTTACCTGTTGTTTTTGTTCTACACCACCTTGCATTATTTGTGTACTCTCTGAAAGTCTGAAAATTGTCTGACTGCATTTTTAACTTACTAAGGTCCTGAAACTGGAGCTAAAGGAGATCAGAGATCAGCAAGACCTTTTATTTCGGTTTATGAACTTCCTGAAACAGGAAGGGGCAGTCCATGTGCTGCAGTTCTGCCTGACTGTAGGTAAGTTTGCATACATGTGCTGAAGTATATTTGATGATCATTAAAAGCTTTAAGCTTTTGCATGTTGAAATGAATATTCAGCCTCAGAACTAGGCAGCATTGTTAAGCAAGAGATTACCTTTCAGGATCTGTGTTCACTTACTTTAATATGTCCTGATTCTTGAATGCTAATCTTGGCAATTTTCATGTTGGCATGGACTGTAGGTCTTAATTGTAACTCTGTTTATTGATAAACTTTGGATATTTTAAAATAGAATATTCTTGTCAGAAAAAAGTTCTGATCACTGGTACAAAGTACAGCTGCCTTTTCTTAATATGTGGCTACTAAATTATTTCTAAAATGAGCTGTTCATCATGAAAAGCTTCTCATGGTCTTTTAGTTTTAAAATTCTGATTTCTGTAAAGAATGGAAACATAACAGGAACATCAAAGGTGTTGAAACCTTCTATTCAGTAACCTGTACCTTGGTTATGAAGCATGCATTTGGTTTTGCTATTATACAAGTGTTGTTTGAAAAAACTTCTGTTTTCCAATGATAAGGTTTTCTGTGAAGTTTCTGTAAATTAGAGTGGTATATTTCAAGGGGTTTTTTTGTCAACTAGTGGTTAATTACTGGCTTACCAAAAATAATGGGGTGGGTTTTTTTTTTAGTAAACAAGTATTTCCATGTTGCATGGCAAATAATGGGTGTGTCCTCATATCCCAAGCTGTTCACACATCAGGAAGGGATGAAATTAAATTATCTCATACAATGCTGAAATCATTAATCATTACATAAGAGAAATATAAATAATCTCTGTGGATGCAGCTTCTTACATGCTCATAATCCTTCCAAATATGTTGCCTTTTGTCAGAAAAACTCCCCTCACCAAAAAACAACAAAGAGATTACTTTTTTCAGTGCTGTTGCTACTGGAGAGAGTTCTAAGATGACTCTTAGAACTCTAAGTTCTAAGATCTAGAGCTCTCTAGAGGTGCTTCCTCTAGCAGGAAGGTTACTCAAACTGTGTCTATTGCCCATGATCAATCTTTTTTCTGGATAAACCTCAGCATTTTCTCCCTTCTAAACTTCTCTTTGCATTCTCGTAGGCGACAAGTCTGTGTATTAGCTTATTATACAAGGAATGAGATTTAGGTGTCTCAAGTTAAGCTGTCCCAAACTGTCAACTGTAGGTCATTCTTCACGATAGAAATATTTTGAATAAGAAGCACCTACTGAGGAAAATAAACCCCAAAAACCTCAGAAGGGTCTTGGTAGACTTTCTCTGAAGAAGTTTGGTTTTGTTTATTAGTTGAAAAATGAATCAAACTCTACCTTATTTTCCCTTCTTTCTGCCCGGTAGTCATGCGATTAACAGGATGGGCCAATAAATCAAGTAGGATTGCACAATAATTGTGCTGAATAGAATTTTTATTTTGCCAGGGGAATTTCATTCTAAAGTTAGTCTGATATTAAAGATATTATTGAAAATGCTATGATGGTTTGGGTCTTAGGAATGAAATAGCAACAGAATAGGCAGATGACTTATAAATGGCTGTTGGGCTCTGTGGGTCTAGCATGAACTGGGAATCATGCTAAACAAAACTACAATTTACAATTTGGTAATTTGGGAAGAAAAAATTAATCCTTGTGATTCATTCTTCTGCCAGGAACAACTTCACAGATTTATCCTTACTGTGATAAGGAATAATGAGTTTTAATTTTAATATATTTTTAGTAATACTTTTATGAATAAATCTGAATTACAGTTAATAAGAAGGCAGCTACCTTATTACTTGAGATTTTGAGATGTCTTCTGTTTCTATTCATTTTAAAGTTTTACAAATTACTATATCTGCTGGAAAATTAGTTGATGTTATAGGTTGATTCAAGATGCTATTTGTTAGCCCAGTAGATCACAAATGTATTTTCTTTACTTCTCAGAGGAATTCAATGACCGAATTTTGCGACCAGAACTATCAGATACTGAAAAGATGTCTCTTCATGAGGAAGTACAGAAAATTTACAAAACTTATTGTTTAGATGAAAGCATTGACAAAATTAGATTTGACCCTTTCATTGTGGAAGAGATTCAAAGAAGTAAGTTTCAATTTGAAAGGAATAATTTACACTGGAACTTAAGCAGCATTCTGTAATAAAGTGAAGACTATTAATCTAAATATAATTGATCTTTACTTTTGTCATATTTTTAAAACATGTTACCCCTTGCTATAATGTGCTTAAGTCTTGTTTTGTCAGTTTATTTCTATTCTTTATGTCAGACTTATAGTAGCATGCAAAGAAATCACAAACTCAGTCCAGAAAAAACCTGCAAACTTCATATGCCCATATATATATATCTGTTTATATTTACAATTTTTTACAGTTGCTGAAGGTCCATATATGGACGTTGTGAAACTTCAAACGATGAGGTGTCTTTTTGAAGCTTATGAGCATGTACTTTCTCTACTTGAGAACGTTTTTACTCCTATGTTCTGTCACAGTGATGAGGTAAGTGTGAAAGATTTGAAGAGTAGTCTTAAAGCAAGATTGTATATATATATATATTTTTGGATACCCTATTTACAACAATCATGTGCATGTGGAAGTGAAAAACATGTCTTCATTTTCCACTTTAATTTTGCTGGGACCAATCTCAGTAAGAGATTTGAATTTATTCTCGTTCAGCACAATATCAACAGAATAAAAAAACCTCTTCATTTTTTGATGTAACAATTTGTGTATATCACTGCTATTACAAAATCCCCTCTGCCCCTTCTCTTATGATTGCAAATTTGGTGCAAAATAATCTGCGTGATAGACATAGAACACTTTTAAGGATGTCTTTGTTTACTTTTTAAAAGATAATAGTACTTAAAGAAAGGTACAAAGGTTGTATTTACATACCTTCAGCTTTATTCCAGCAGCTAAAGTCAGTTGTCTGTTTTCAGGAAGGTCATTCTCTAACTAGGCGTTAGAGATTGTTCTATGATGGGGTTCTGAATGCAAGTTTAAAAAAAAAAATATCCCCACACTGGGCTGACAGTTGCCTACAGCCTTCTAATAGGAAACACTTTAAACGCAGGGATGAGTCTGAATTCTTGTCCCTTTTTGAGTTTGCACGTGTAAATCAGGTTGTATGTTAAGCTTCTCGAATTTATTTCAGACAGAATATATTGTGTTGTCCTAGGAATAGGTACTTACCTTACTTGGCATTATTCTTAATAAAGTGTATTTCTCAAAAATGGTATTGATGGTCATCTTTCCCATAATAGCTATAACGCTTCAAATGCTTGATTTTTAACAAGGAGGAGGCATGGATTTTGGCGCTTAATTTTAGTTTTATTTCTGGTTTGGTTTTCATTTTTTATTCCCAGGACTATTTAAAGTAAAATGAGTAGTCCTGGGAGCATGTACTGCACGTATTGCAAATTTGGTCTGCCCTTTTCCAGCTGAATATTCTACGTGCTAGGTTATGGGAAGCTTGCCTTTCACTTCTGTCCTTGTTTCCTGAATTCTGCAATGTCGTTGCATAGTAGCCCTTACCTCAGTTAACCCGGGGTTTTCTTTGATGCCTTATTTGTCTGTTGTAGTACTTCAGACATCTTTTGAGAGGAGCAGAGTCACCAACACGCAATTCAAAGTTTAACAGGTAGGTATGGTAGAATCCTTAAGTGTTTTTCTTCGTTTATTATTTAGAAATGTCAAAATATTAAACCATAGGAATTTTACTATTGCCTGATACTAATTTGACTCAATTTTTAGCAGCTTTTTTTTTTGGACAAATTGCATACTGAAGGAGCAAGCAATATTATACAAGATGCCTCTCAGTTTGAAGTTTTTTCTGTTAAAGAATTTAAAATGTGATTTGGAGCTCAACATTTGAGAAGGGGGAAGGGAAGAATAAACTCACAGTGAGAATAAGATAATGTGGCAATTAAGTGGTGATTTAATTGACTGTATATATGAATACCATTTTGTTGGTGCAAAGCTGGGTGGTCTTGGATTTAGGTCTTGTGGTCTAACCAATGTGGTCATGCAATGGGAATCTCCTCTTGTTGTGACAAGGAGGATTTGCCATTTCTGCTAGGTCATATGTATTTCCTGTCCCCCATCTCTCCCCATTCACTGCAGTAATGTAGCATCAGAAGCCTTGTTTCTGGGTTTGGGCTGTATATTTACAGACCACCTTCAGGCTCCTTAGGGCCCATGGAGAAGGAGAAGAGCCATCTCCTGTGGTATGGATGGGTGATCTTCCACTGTGGGGATGGGTTGAGTAAGCTGGAGGTCTCATCACTTCTTTCATTTTATGCCGGATGGCTTGGTCATAGAATAGCCCAACTGAATTGCTCTTATGGTCTAGCCAAAAGAAGGAAAACTTGAGTGAGACAGTCTTCAATTTGGATAGGCTTTCTGTTTTGGTATGAAATAAGATCCACAGTACTGTAGAAAATGCTAGTATTTATCATCTTAGAGTACTCTTCTGGAGGAGGAACAGCAATTTATTTAAGTTTTTCCTGCTTTCATTAGAGGTACACCTAGCAGCAGCTCTCTTGATTTGCAGCCTGCTGTGAGGTGTATTATTGTGAGATCCCTTTCTCCCCTGCTAGCATTCTTCAAAAACTACATGATCATTCTCTTTAATGTATCTCCATTGGTGACATCTATTATGTCATCTTTATAGTTCTTGTAGATCCAGGACTCAAGCTTTGGTGTAGTTCTTTCTCAGATTGGTGCTGACAAGCTTCTGTTTTCTTAGCAAAGAGGCATGGAAGGCAGCTAGACCAAATTGCATTTCTCCCCTATGGGATACTCCACTAGGAATGGTGACCTTAAAACACACTCCAGCTTCTGTTGAAGATGGCTACAGGGTTTCATCCAGACCTTTAAATCTGCCTTCTGGTATCTTTCCCAAAGTTATTCATGTCAAGGGTTGAAAGTATCCTGTCATACACTTCTTAAATCTGGCTAAATGGTGAAAACATTCAGGTCATCTCCTTGGTGCTTTGCTTTCCAAAACAGAAAGAGTGAAATTACAGGCAGTCTCTACCTGGAGTTTTTGAAATACATGCCTGGCTATAAAATAAGCAAATTTTGGGGACTGTTACAACATATTCCCCTAGAGTTCAAACAGCATCCATAGTGTTACTGAAAATGTATCTTTTTTTACAGTTTAGACGAATTTGAATGCCCTGAGTACATATGCTGGTTTATGATACGAGATACTGTGTGCCTCAGTGATTATTTCCATGAAACAGAGGTCCTATCTGCAAGTAGTTTGCGTGCTGCATTGGAGTTTCCCTCTGCAGAATCTGGTAGAGATAGTCACTGCCACGGGGGAGGGAGGAAAAAAAGTTACTTACGGAATTATTCCATATGTTATCCATATGCAAATACCTTCCTCTGCCTTCTCTTCCCTATTCTAACATTAGTTCCAGTTGAGAGAAATTATATGCAAAGAGATGAGTTTTGTTTTCCATATCTTTGATGCTTTGCTAGGGGGTGTGTGTATTACATAGATACTGATGGTTAAAAAGTCAGATCAAGTAGTAGATATGAAATCCCAGTGGAATGCACATGTAGGTAATGTGTTGAATGATTTCACTTGTTGTAAGACAAGAAAATTATAGAGCTGTTTCTAGAAAATACAAGTGGGAAAGTAGGAAGAAGTGACTATCAGTGTGTAATTTGTGGTTTGAGTCACTTCTTTCAACTGTACAAATTAATCATGCCTTTTTGTGTACAGATAGGACAAAAGTGCTATGAAAGCTGCTAAGTTAATAGATGAGAAGTCCCAAGTATTTCTGGAGTGTGAAGAATTCATGCTGAGGATATTCTGATAACTTGATAACTAGCTGTGGCTGTCAACAGTTTAACTCCGTAACTATATTTTCTACCTAATGTTTAATGTGTGTGGCCAATGAAAACTTAAGTTCCAATCCTGGCAACTTAGCTTCAGGTGTGTGGAAGAGAGGACAAGAATTCCCTCTTCCTCTCTCGTATTTATGTACCTATAATACATTACTATGTTACGTAAAGGTATCCTGTGTTGGAAGTCTAACAGAAAAAGAAAAGCCATTATGTGATATAAACTCCCAGATTTCTGGATAGCTGTGTATCTGTCTTGATTTTTTACACACCGTGACCACATATAGAAATAGACACATGCTGATTCCTCATCACTGGGCTAGCAGTAAAATCAAAACGTTTTTCAAGTAAAGAACCAAATAGAAAAGATATTACCAATTTTGGGGAGTGGTTAGGAGCAAAACCTGCAGAATCAAGTCTGGAAACAGTTGTGTGCAATGTGATTGTCATCATCAGTTCCAACTCGGTAGGTTATGTTTCCAGTTTCACAGCTAACATGACTAAAGACAGGGTAAGATGCCTTAGGATTAGTTCCTCTTGCAAAACAAAATCTAAAATTTGAATATTTTAATCCCATATCAGTTTGTCCAGAATTCAGTACCTTGTCCAGTGAATTAAAATCATTTGTGCGGTGACTGCGTTTATAGCTAATCCATCTAAACATCTCTGTCGGAATTCCTGAGTTGATGGCTGAGGCATTGGTTCCATGTACCAGGTTACGTAAAATGTCAAAAATACATGACAGTTCTTAAAATCTGTGAAATAATAATTTTAAAAAAAGGTATTTTAATAGTGGTTTTTATTCTATCTAATATGGGGAGTAGGGAGTGGTGTTATTGTGTAAAACAAGTCCACGGCCTTTTCTTTGTATTGGCCAAATAAACGAGATTCCTACCTGACTTCTGGACATAGGTTATAGAAAAAGTTAGCTGCCTGTTTGGTGCACTACAGGTAACTTCCAAGACTGACAGTCATTCTCTACAAATTGGTAACTGCTTGTACTGAAGAAAGTTTCAATAACTGAGGTTTTAAATTCAAAGGCCAAGACTGTGGTGACGAAATGTGCAGGTACTGTTTGCGTTCCACATTCTTAGGATTTTAGGTCAGGAACTCTTTAATTGTACCACATTTTTTATTGATCTGTAGTGATGGTCAAAGCCTATCCAGTGTTGTTGGGATAGGTCTGTCAAATTTGGAGGGGGGTTTAACATTATTTTCTCCTGGGCTCTGAGGTAATTTATGTGCCTGTTGTTGCAGAAGTAGCCTGAGTTTGGATGACTTCCGGTAAGTCTATCTAACACTCGATAAATGTTGTGTGTTAGTTACGCTGCATCTGTCATGACTGCATCACACGGCCCTTATAACAGCAATTAACTGTCCATTTTATTTGTAAAAATGTGAACGTCTTCTCTGGACTAAACTGCTTTTCTCCCCACAATAAGCTTTACTCCCCATGTCCTCTTCACAAATGTTTAGATATTGCTTAATTACTAATTTCACAAGCTTGCAGCATATTAATATTTTTTGGTGTTACAGATATATCTGTTGTTATTAATTTTGAAATATATTTGCATAACTTGAAGCTTTTTTTTTTTTGTCCTGTGACTGCTAGCTGTTCCAAAATTTCCTTTACTCCATGTCACATTTCCAGATCCTGTTTGAGGTTGTATCCACATAACTATTTTTGAAATATATTTGCATAACTTAAAGCTTTTTTTTTGTCCTGTGACTGCTAGCTGCTCCAAAATTTCCTTTACTCCATGTCATGTTTCCAGATCCTGTTTGAGGTTGTATCCACATAACTGCTTGTTTTATCTTGCACAGCTGTGTCCGGGATGATCATTGCATGCAAATCTAACTATTTTGTGAATATTATCAAGCAGTCAAAACCAGCAGTTCCCCAAATTAGTTCTTTCTGCAGCTTTTCTTATGACTATTATAGGTTTGATTACAACATACACTGTTTTTTATAATTTGCTGTAGGTAGTCTGTGGTCACTTGTTAATACCTTAATAATTGCTGGTGGTTTGTTTTCTCATTATTTGTGCCTCTTTAAATACATGCTATCCAAACTCAGAAAACAATTTTTTCATGATGGGCTTTTCCTTAGAATTTATCAGAGCATCAGTATTTCATATATTACTCCTATGATTCTTGAGTCTTGAGGGAACATTATCAACATCATTTTACAGGTTAGGAATCAAGGTATATAGATACTGTTCATGTGCCAGTTCGGTGTATTGAGTTATAACTCAATGGAGTGTTGAGCAGTAAGAAGTCCTTGAGAAATAAGTGCAGTTCATTGATTTTTTTTTTTTTTTTTTTTAAATTTATTTTTTTTTAAGTGCAGCTCTATGAGCTCAGCATTTCTCCTAACTGGGTGTAGGGGTTTTAAGTCACGCAAAAGAAAATGGTGCTCTGACTTCACATGCCTGTAAATATCTAGCTTGTCTGATACATAGGACTTGTCTGGTATTTCTTGACGTACAAAGGTTCACAATAGCATTCTTCAGCTGCGTAGCCTTGGCTGATAACTTGCAAAGATCTGTTCAGTGTGCTGAATGAGGCAGGGATCCTGCAGGGAAATTTCTTTGCTGCCATCCGCAATTGAAGAATGCCACAGTGCTCAGTGGCACTAATGCAGTCTTTGGTCTGCAATTCCCAGCTATAAAGTGAACAACAATTAAAAGTTTTTAACGTTACACACGTGTGACTTCTGGAGCTTTAAAAAAAATAAATGTATTCCAACCTCCTGTCATATCATTCATCAGAAATGTTGGAACCTGTAGACTCTGTTCTCAGGGCCTTGCCAAGAAAGCAACAACAGGATGATGGTCTAATAATGCTGTTACACGGATCAGCACTAGAGGGAGTGGGATACTTTTCCCAATGAGTTTTGTGTATATATATTTGTGGACAGTAACAGAGTTGACAGGTCTTGAAAGATTTGGTCTCTATTCTAAGCTGGCCACCTCTTCCCCTCTTTCTTCCCCCATGCCTGGGACCTGACCATACCCTAGTCCCATCTTGTCCCTTCCATCTAGCCTCAAGTTCTTTCTCCTATTTATACTTAACCAGTAAATCTATTAGATTTTCATCCTGAAGCCTGTTTTTTGTTTTATTCTTGCTTAGCATCCTCAAAAGATTGATCATCCTGTTGTCTGTCTGTCTCTGCAAACATCCCCAGATTTTTTTTGTGATCATCTAATCTGTTTTCTGCTCTGTGTGCTTGCTCAAGGATTTTTGCCAAACCAGTCCTGTGTTCTCCCCACGCGTTGTCCACCATGTCTCTGTGTACCCTCTTATTCACCACTGTTCTGAATTTGTGTGTCTTCCTGTGAAGAGATCCCATCCTACTTTGTCACATTATACCTGTTACAGTTTAGTGATTGCTCTGTATTGATTTAGGTGGGATCTTTGGGCTCAGCATCGGAGCAGGAAGGGGTGGTTCCTAGCTCCATACAGCTCAGTACTGCAGTTGCAGGCAAAGCTGTCTTCTCCCTTCAGCTGGAACGTGATCAGCCTGGGAAAGAACTGATCTGAGCCTGGAGCCCATCAAATCTCTGAGCTTGTGTGAATTAATGGTGTTCAAAATCTCGAGAACTGCAGAAGTTTTCACAGGAATGATGAACACTTCTTTGAGGCCAGCTAGAGGTCTGAAGTATTACCTGTCTAGAAAAGCTGTCCAGTTTTGTCTGAATAAGGCTTGTATTTTGCTAGCCCAGTGATTAAACTCTTGAACAAGATTCAGGTAGGTCCCCAATGTGAAAAAGTTCAATTCAGCACAATAACATGTAGAATAAGTTGTTTAAAAATCAAGTAAAATTGTTCAAACATGGATTTAGGCTACAAACAGCCAAACAACCTTGTCTTTGTATAGCAGAGATAAGTAAGGTGCCTGTCTGCTTTGGAGCTGCTAGTAATATGAGATAGAAAAAGCAAAAGATTTGGAAAAACGTTGGATTATTTACGCAACTTTAGCCACATACACAGTCTGGGTAAAATTACAAACAGGAAGATCATTAGTAACATGCGTTCTGCGGTCAGCAGTTGATGATGTCAACATGGTTTTGTGGGTGATGGAGGTGCTTTGCCTGCTGGTCTCTGCTGTTCTGTTGGTACTGCTGTTCAGTAGTTGTTAATTTTTTGTTTTAAAGGAAAAAGGAACACTTAGGATATTTTTTTTGTCCTCTAAAGTACTAATTGTGCTTTTAATCACAGTAATCTATAAAGTTCTTTTGATTCTTTGATTCTGCAGTTCACTGTATTGATTTTTAACTCACCTACTGACTGAATCACCGTAAGTAACCTTAGGCTGATTCCATATTCAACAGAAACATTTTTCTTTCCAGAATTACAAGCATTTCTGTGTAAGAAGTAATCTTTGGTGTCAGGTCTTGTGTAGGGGTGCAAGAATGCTATAAAACCTGTTCTTAAAGTAAGGAGTGTGCTTCCTGCCCAATTATCTTTCTTTTTCCATACCTTGTTGCTTTTGGGATGTGTTGTTGTAAGTGGTAAGACTTTAAAAAGTCTTCCTTTTCCAGTCAGACTGGGTCTTCAAGCCAAGATTCTTCAGTTGCATCTGTTCTCTCTCATGTTCAGTCTTGCTCCTTGCACATTCCTTTTGTCTGTCCCTAATGCTTAAGAGTCGATATCTATCTCAATTTGTACATGCTTGTAAAATTCTGGGATGTTTATGTAAAAAAAAAAAAAAAAAAAAAAAAAAAAAGCATCTAATTACACCACTTACACTACCTGGCAAGAGTGGATAAGTATTTAGCTATGAGTACATGGAAGAGGACAGAGTTAATGACCTTCTTGGTGTGCATACCTGTAGCAATACGACAGTTTCTTCTGTCAAAACAAAATTGGTTTGCATAGTTGATTGTTTATTCTGTGTCTTGCATTACTTGGATGCTATTACAAGAGTGTTAATGTTTGCTCGTGGTTAAGCATATGAGACTCTCGCATGTCTTAAAAGTATAATCAAGAAATTTTGCTGATCGATCAGAGAACAAATTTGCCGTAAATGAATTTCAGTTTAAATGGAATTGTAAATCTGTTCGCTACTTGTTAATAGAATTGTTTCTTATCTGCAAATGATATGCAACGGCCTACTGAGCTACTGTGTAATAATGTGTTGTGTTGTGAACTCTGCCTTCTGTAATCCTAGGACCACACAGAAGAGAGGAGAATCGTTTGGAATCAGCAGAATAGGCAACAAAATAAAAGGTGTATTTAAGAGCTCTGCAATGGAAGGAGCTATGTTGCCTAACTATAACTTAAATGAAGAAGATGACTTTGTGAGTAAAAGCTTTAAATCTGTCTTTTAAGGATTTGTTGTTCTTGGGGTTTTTTCTTTCCTTGTTTGAAAATGTTAAGTGTCTGCCTATGCTTGTGAAAATTCGAAGAGCTGTGGACTGCAGGAATAATTCAATGCCAGTCACAATTGTGTTGCACCTTGCAGAGCAAGTCAGACTCATGTGTCCACAACGTACTCCGTTGCACTTGGCTGTGGGGGTGGGAGACCTGCTAGCTGTTGACATCTGTCTCTTGTTGTGTTTAGATGAGCTTACTATGACAGGCCAAGAAGCGAAGTCTTCAATTTGGGTCCTAGTATGTTGGAAAATGCAGTGCAGCTAAATCTGCTGGACCCAAGCTGGTTCCTGTAGCATTCAGGCTGGGTCTAAGGCATTCTTCCAGCTGTCTCCTCTAGTACTTCTGTTTTCCCGCTCTCCCCTCCCTCCTTCTCCCTCTCTCCCGCCCTTGCTGAAGTGCCAGATATGGAACTTGATAATGCTATAAAAACTTCCAGTTCTCACTAAAAGCTGCTAAATTCAAATTAATTTGCAGTGGATCTAAACCCAGAAATTCATTTACATGAAAACTCCATTAATGAAATGGGGTTTTTCTTCTTTTATTACTTAGTGACACATACTTAAAGACTCGATTTATGTTTCAGTATCATATATAAGTTTTGCAAAGGTAGACTGAACCAGTTAAAACAGAACTGTAGATCTCAATGTTTGAATCTTTACAGATTGAAGAAGGCGTTATGGTGATGGAAGATGATTCTCCTGAGGAGGCTGTTAGTACCCCAAATACACCCCGCAACCTTGCCGCATGGAAAATTAGCATCCCATATGTAGATTTTTTTGACGATCCCTCCTTGGAAAGAAAAGACAGAAAGGAGAGAATTCCTGTGTTCTGCATTGATGTAGAGAGAAATGATAGAAGGGCAGGTATGCAGTGTGGTGGATAAATAAAATGTCATTTAAAAATCAGCTCAAAATATTCTAGTGTGCTGTACTCTGGCTATTGCAGTGTATTTTGCATACATGTTCTTCTGATTCTGAAATAATGACTTGAAAATTCTGAGGAAATGTGTTTGAGAGCTAAATGATCACATTTCCTACTTGCAAGTTGAGAACTCGTCATGAATCAGTTCCATTTAGGCTTCATGCTAAAGTTTGAGGTTTTCTCTTTCCAAATATACTGATCCTTTGATTCGTATTAATAAACACTGGGCATATTTTTCATTCACCCACTCTGAACTTTGGAATAATGAACAATAAATAACTTTTTACATAACCTTGAAATATAGTTCTTAAGAAATGAAAATGTTTTGCTTCTTAAGAACCGTCCTGGCTGGCAGATAGTTTGTCAGTAGATAGCAATACATCCCTATTGAGTGGGGAAAACAGCATCATCCTGGGGCTGCATAGATTTGTGTTAGTGGAACTAATACTTCCACAATAAGCAGGAAGTGTTTAAAAGTTATTTACTGGTATCTCCCAGGAGGAAGAATGATGAGGATTCAAGCTGATGATGCAGAGGACTGTATTCATTAAGTAGTATTTCTGTAAATCATTTGGTTAAAAGTTTGAAAATAGATCTAACCTAGTCAGCTCTGATACATTTTAAAGTTACACAAGTGCTCCATTGTTTAGATTTTAGGGATCCCCTAAAAGAGATTATAATTTCTGTGCGAGTACCATGTATGTCTACCAGGTGTGCATTTTAATTTAATACTTAAATTACCTGGCTGGGACCTTTTTTTTTTTTTGCATTACAGCAATATAGGGGACTAATATCACTGAGGTTTTTCTGGGTTTTTTTCCAAAGGTTTTTCCAAACTTATGTTTGCTGTTGCTTAATTCATCTCTCAGGTGGTGTAAAACCTGGTTTATTTTTAATGTATGTTTGTTTTGTTCTGGTTTTTTTTCTCCCCCTAGTTGGGCATGAACCTGAACACTGGTCTGTCTACAGGCGGTATCTTGAATTTTATGTGCTTGAGTCGAAGCTAACAGAATTTCATGGTATGTTCTCCATCATCTGGAAAGCCACTTTCCCACTGCTGTGCTTATTATTCAGTACTGAGCTGAAATTTAAAATAATGAAAACAATTTTTGCTACGTTAGAAGAGTAAGTTAATCTCCTTGATATCTTTATTAGGTACATTTCCTGATGCTCAGCTTCCCTCAAAGAGAATCATTGGCCCCAAGAATTACGAGTTCTTAAAATCCAAGAGAGAGGAGTTTCAGGAGTATCTGCAGGTATCAAACAAACTCTTGGAGCAAAGAATATTCTAAAACTAATAATACAAAATTAATAAAAGAATATCTGCTTTTGTTTGTTTACAAGTAACTTGGGTTATAGAAAGGATTGAAGTGGGCAAATAAAACTTGTTACAAGTTTCACATGACTGAAAACAGAAATCTTTTGCAAGTGACACTGTCTATGGTAATCTAGATACGCTTTGAATATCTCTTTTTGCTATAGAGAAAGTGATTTTTAAGGATTAATTTAAGTACTTACACTTTGTTCTTTTCTTCTGTCGCAAAGAAACTTCTGCAACATCCAGAACTAAGTAACAGCCAGCTTTTAGCTGACTTCCTGTCGCCTAATGGAGGAGAGACTCAGTTTCTTGATAAAATGTTGCCTGATGTGAATCTTGGTATGTAATATGCTAGTTGTTTATGCTGACAAATAGTAATACTGTAGATACTGTGATTGAATGATAGTGGTAATGAATAGATAACTCTTGTGTAAGGATATGGAGGTGGGAAATAAGAACTGTGCTCCTTCACAGCCCTTAAAATTGCCCCTCAGAAGCAAGATATGCTGATACTTTTCCCTTGAAGAAAAAGGACATTTTGAGATTATTGGAAAAAAGTGTTTAAGTGGTTGCTCTTGAACCTTTATGTCAGCAAGCAAGGTGATAAGATTTCTCTAACAAATTTCATCGTTCAGGAAGACTTACAGTATTGTCATGAGTCAAATCTGCACAAGTCCGTCGCTGTTTACAGGTGTGATGGGATAAACAGTTTCTTAATATAAACTACCCTTGGCTTTTAGTTGATTGAAATCTGTTTATTTTAATCTGAAAGCCGCGGTATTTAGTATTTCTAGTATTAGCTAGTGTTAAGATCTCGTTTAATGTGAGCTGCTTAATAGAATTTGAGGCAGTGGTGTGTGTGATATAGGCAGGCCAAATGAAAATGGCGAAGTTGAGAAATTCTTGATGTCTGATGTAACAGTTGATAATAAATCCAAAAAGTAGACTGCAGTGTGACTTTACAGCTTGGTTGCAATGTAGCTGTCTCAGGATAGTGGACCTCTGGAGGTCCCTTCCAACCCTTGCCATTCTGTGACCTGAGCTGGTAAGGTCAACGTCACAGCCGTCCTGTCTTCATGTATTGTATCACTCATGGTTCTGGCACCGGCATGGTCCAGGAAAGCAGTGTCTGAACTGTGCCGCTGTATTTCTGCTTCTCCTGGTCGTGGTGTGAACCCGTGGGGGTGGTCATTCTCTTAGTGTGCTTCCTAAGTTGTTGAATGAGATTTTGGTGGTCATCCTCCAGTTAAAGCATCTTGTTTTGTTTCAGATCTCCCCTCTTTTTTTGTTTAAAAAAAGCATATAATTATGGCGTGTACTGTAATGCATCTCATGTCTGAGACTATGCTTCCTAACATCCCTAAACATAATTTTAACAAGTCTTGACATATTTCAGTAGGGCTTTTGGTGAGAATGAGCAATTTTATTATTATCATTTGATAATTTTACATACTTTGTGATGTAAGTTCCAAATTTAATGACATGTACGTGAGCAAAATAATACTGTAAATGGTAGTGCTTAAAATAAAACTAATCCTAGACACTTCCACTTTTCAGCATTCAAAGTTACTATGCTGTATCCTGATAACCTTAACAGGACAGAAGAGATGATTTTTAAGACCACAGCTGTGGATCCAATTTGTAAAACTTCTACTCACCAGTATTTTCAAGACTCTAGAGTCTATCCAGTTT